TTGAACTATGGGGCCCAAAACTGGACGCAGTACTCCAACTGTGGTCTAACCAAAGTCGCATAGAGGGGAAAGTATCACCTCCTTGGTTCTCTCTGTCATGCATCTACTGATGCATGATAAAGTCAAGTTAGCTTTGCTGACGATTGTGTCACACTGACGACTCGTGCTCAAATTTTTTTTTCAGATCTCACCGTAAGTGCTCAAGTCACTTTAAAAATAAACCTGAGGTACTTTGGAGGTACTAAGTGATACAACTTTACCCATAATTTTGAAGCACAGGTGATCAGAACCTCTGTTTGTCTTATCCTAAAATGGTACTGCTTACAGCCCACTCTCTCTTAACATCACGCAGTTAAGAAGGACACCAGGTTAAAGCTGTTCATATTTATCAATATACTTACCCAAATTCCTCTATAGAGTCAGAACCTCCACCCCCAAAATGGAAGGTAGGCATCTTTCAAATAGTTGTTAGGGAACAACGAAATAAAAGATACTTAAGTTGTATCCAAAAAAGCTTCACATGTATAAATAAGTTGTTTATCATAAATCTTACCTGAAGTGTTTTAAGACCTGATGAAACATACGCAAAGAATCATTTTAAGATGTTTTAATTTGCTTGAAAAGTACAGACATGTTTTCAACATCTCTATTACTATTAGCACAATATCTTGACTCCTAGGTTTTGACAAGTCCCATATCCACAGAAGGGTTCGTACACAACAAAACCCTATTACGTCCTTGGCCTGAGACAGTCTGGTTGAATCCCTTATAAACAAAGGGGAAAAAAACAACACATTGCAGTGCAATGTACTGTCATTGAGCATAATCATGATCTGTCCTTATTGTACAAAAAATAACTAATGAAGACGGTTTTTCTAATACAAAGTTAGCCTTTAAAAACATGGCCTGCAATTTCTACTATGAGATGATACTACTTTATTTGCCACAGAAAAAAATGAAAAAGTAGAGTCAGCATCACTGGTACACTGCTCTCTGGGCAAACTCCCACCTGCATTAGGAGGGCAAAACTACACAAAAAAGTATTCAGATTGCCCCAGGCATATTTATGCTAACTGTATGTTTGGCTAGAAGACTGTGTAGGGGCTGCTTATAATTCCCCAAATTGGATAATAAGCTAAGAATTTGTGGGGCTCTATAAAGAAGAAAAGTGATCCATTAGAAGTCACATCAATCAAAGCTGGTGCCTCCAACCATTTTACAAATGTGATTATTTTAAACAAACAAAATTAACATCCAAAGCTGTAAACCTGCAAAGGTTTATTTCACAACAGCCACAACATGCTTTTTCTTCTCCGACACAAATGGCAAGGATCCTGGCTTGCTGTGCTTACGGCGATTCAAGTCCCTAGAAACAGACAAGAGAAAGATGAAACTCAATGGCAAGTATCAGAAGGTCAGATATGCTAGATTTTTGCTTAAGTCACTACTGTAAGCATCCTACAGTTCCTAAAAATGAGTGTTTTCAGAATAAAAAATAAATAAAGCAGCTAGCTTTCATTAATAGGCTGGCGGACCTCCTCCGGCGGGCTTTAAACTAGG